AGGAGAGGAGAAGGAGGAGGAAGAGGAAGATATGGATGATAATAGTTGTCATAATATATGATAAATATAATAATAATTATAGTAACAATAATGATAATGATAAAGGCATGGTATTGATAATAATGATGATAACGTAAACGATAACGATAATGATAATGGCAATAACAATAACTATAGTGATAATAAAACCAGTTTGTGCTGCATTAATCCTATTGACAACGTAATCAAATAACAAATGTTTGAATAGAAGAAAAATATTATATATTACTTTTCCTGCATGACATATGTATTTCTTGAATACTATACTTCCACACGCAAAGGCATAGATTAAAGAAGAAAGAGAAAAAAAGAATATAAATATAATATGTAATGGATAAATATCAAAATTATATAAATATACAAACAGATAAAACACGCCAACAAAAGAAACGAGGGACAGAAAAACGAAAGGACGAACACAGGAGAGGGTAAAGTAAAAAGCAGATAAAGAAAGATATGCAAGAAATAACAGTTAAAAAGGGAGTGATAATTAATTGAAGACGAGATTACTAATAATATTTGTAATAAAAGTTTTGAAATGTGTTGAAGAAGGAGAGGGGAGGGAGGGAAGGGGAAAGGGCGAGAGAGACAGAAATTGTAAGAGAGTGCAAGAGAGAGAGAGAGAGAGAGAGAGAAAGAAAGAAAGAAAGAAAAAAGAGAGAGAGAGAGAGAAGAGAGAGAGAGAGAGAGAGAGAGAGAGAGAGAGAGAGAGAGAGAGAGAGAGAGAGAGAGAGAGAGAGAGAGAGAGAGAAGAGAGAGCAGAAAGATGGGCGAGCGAATGGAAAAGACACCGAATGGAAAGAAAAAAAGACAAAAAGAACGATATAGAGCAAAGAGAATGAGCACGAGAGAGACAGAAACAGGAAACCAGAGAGAAAAAGAGAAAGAGTAAAGGAGAGAATCTTAATTACCCGAGAAAATTACAGCACGGGCCCGTTTACAAGCACTCCCCGTTGAGAACTTTTCCTATCCTTGCGAAGCTCCATAACCTTCCGCCTATCATGTGCATCGCCTTTAGTGTTATTATCACTATTATTGCTACAATTATCGGATGTTCTTGCTTTATTCTGTCTTTCGTTTCTTCTCCCTTCTTTTGTTTTATTTTTCTTATGCCGATGTTTTGTGTTGTTACTGGGAATTGATGGTTGTTAATTTCAATTTTCCGAGATGTTTTTCTTTTATTATGGAAACATTATACAGATACGAATAATGACGTAATTTTGTATTCATTGTGAATTTGTTAATATTTTATTGACTACTACCGATAATGTCTATTCATACGTTTATGATTATCATCATTTTGATGATAAGAAATCAAATAATCTGCATTTTCTTGTATTTTGCCTTTTTATTTAAGCTGGCATCCTAATAGACATAAAAAATAATCAATTATAATTAAATTTATCATTAATATCATATTTATTATTATATCAGTATCACTGTTTTCTTAGTATTATCATATGATCATTATTATTATTATTTATTATTATTATTACTATTATTATTAATATTATTACCATTATTATTATTATTAGATATATTATTATATTATATTATTATTATTATTATTATTATTATCATATTATTATTATTATTATTATTATATATTATCATTATTACATTATTATCATTATCACTATTAGTAGTATAGTAGTGTTAACATTATTATCATCATCATTATTATCATCATCATTATTATCATGATCAATTTTATCATTATCATTATTTCTTTCATCACTTATAATAATAATAATAATAATAATAATAATAAAATAATAATAATAATAATAATAATAATAATAATAATAATAATAATGATGATAAGGATAATAAAACTATGAATATCATTATTATCTTTAATATTATTACTATTTTATTACTACTACTACTACTGATATTGTTGCTATTATGACTTATCATTCATTCGTATTATAATCCATAATAATTTTCCCATTACCCTTACTACTGAATTAACATAAACATCGTTACAGCTACGAATATAACGAAAACATATCACAAATCCTTCTATATCATGAGCATTAATTTCTTTCTTGTCATTATTTTTACCTGATTATACTTAATTCTTTTTCTTCAAAATGATTTATTTTTATATCCGTCTTAATCCTTGTTTTTCTATTGTATATTTATATTCTATTTTACTCCTATTTTTTTCTATTTACTATGTTACCTCCTTTTTTTTTTTAGTTTTTTGGGGGTTTTAAATTCAACATTCGTTTATGATTATCATCATTTTGATGATAAGAAATCAAATAATCTGCATTTTCTTGTATTTTGCCTTTTTATTTAAGCTGGCATCCTTCTACATTTTCAACTCGAATATCTAATAATCTTTTCCTTTTTCTCTTCCTAGTTTTTATGCTAATATACTCCTTCATCCTCCTTTCTCATTTCTAATAAGCCTTTTGCCATTGTCTCTCTCTCCCCCTCCAAACCACAACAGAGAGGACCCGAAGTCTCCCTCAACGAGCTCCTGTACGTGTTTGGAACCCCCCTTGGCGCCGGGGGTCCCGTGGCTCCCCCCATCAACTACACCAAGACAGAAGCAGCTCTCAGCGAATCTGTTATCACAACTTGGACTAATTTCATCAAGACTGGGTGAGTAGTAGGGTTTGTTGTGGTAGTGGTTGTGATGCTTTGGTGGTGATGGTGGTTGGGATGGTATTGTCATGTTGATACATTGAGGGGTGTGATGGGTTTGAGTATGATGTTTTGGTTGATGTGATGATGGGTGTTGTTGTCATAATGTCAGGGTGTGATGTGAGGATGATGAAGATGTGATGTCACGGGATTGATGATAATACAGGATTTTTACGATGGAGACTAATTATATGATCTGTCATTTACTAATAAAAGTTGTAAGGATGAATGTAAATGGCTGATAAGATTTGCGATGATAAGGGTCTCATTGCTGTAATGATGATCGTGATATTGTAAGAGTGATGAGGTAAAATTGGTATGAAAGTGATATTTTGGTTTGATGACTATTTTACAGTGAGGATGAAGATATTAATTGATGATAGTAATGATAATGAATATGATGATAATGTGGGTGATATTTGTGGAAATAGAAATTATTTTGTTAATAACAATAATAATATAATAAAATAAACGATGGCAATGATAATGATAAAACAGTAAAAATTATTATAGTAATGAAAATGATAATGATAAAATTGATAATAATAATAATAATAATAGTAATAATAATAAAACTGTTGTAAGTTTGTGATGATTATAAAAAATATATATAACTATGTTAGTAACAATATTATAGAAAATGAATAATAGCAACAATAATGATGATGATGATGATATTAATAATAAAAGTAACGGTAAAAAAAATAATCATAAAGATAATAATAATGATAATAATAATAAGGATGATAATGACAATAATATCGATCATGATATAAAAACAATAATAATCATTAAAATATATTAATAATTTCAAAGAAGACAATGGCAAAAGAAAAAAAATAATGGTATTAATAATAATAATGATAATAATATTAACAATAATGATAATAATATTAACAATTAAGATAATAATATTAACAATAATGATAATGCTTGTGATTGGGATGATGATACTAGTAATGATGATGATTATAATGATTATGCTAATATTAATAATAATGAAAATAGCAATGCTACTAATAACAATAACAATCGTGATAAAAGTAACAATAATGATAATGCAAAAAAAAACAAAAAAACAATAGTGATAATAATGACAGAAAATTATAAAAATGATAAAAGAATAATGATAACGATATGAAATGAAAATAAAGTTTATGATATTTAAGTTAATAGCTGCAAAGATAACGATTATAATGACGATATTTAATAAGAAAATGATGTTAATACTAGTAGTGATATTAGATATAATTACAACATTGATTGTAATGACAATAATGAAAATGATAATAATATTAGTATAAGAAATTATAATAATGATGATAACAATAATAATGATAATTACAATATCATAAAAATGATAATAATAGCAATAATGATGACAATTGATAGTAATAGCAATGATAATAAAAATAATAGTAACAATAATGATGATAGTATCATTATGATATTATCATGTATACAAAATTTATCATAAAGATTATTAAAATAATAACTATTGGGAATGATGATAATTATATATATATATATATATATATATATATATATATATATATATATATATATATATATATATATATATATATATATATATATATATATATATTCCAAGTTAGACTAAGACACGGAAAAATCTAATGATGACTTTTTGACTTATCCTGCTAACCAGCTAACAAACAAACTAACTAGCCAACGCGATCTAAAACATAGCCTCCTTAACGGAGGTATTATAATAATAACAATGATTTGAACATGATCATAATAATAATTAAAAAAAGATAATGATTACAGTTATTATTATCGTAATTAGTGTCATCATTTTCGTTATTATTATTTTCATTATCATTATTATTATTACTATTATATCATTAAATCTATTTATTATCGTTATTATCATTATCATGATTAGTGATATCATTATCCTTGTTATCATAAGAAATAATAAAGAAGAAAATGAATATGGTATTCGTAACAACAGTAATAATAATAATAATGATAATAATGATAACAGTAGTAGTACTTCTAGTAGTAATAATAATGTTAATAATGTGGTTGATGATGATAATAATAATAGTAATGGTAATAATGGTAATGATAATAATATTGAAAATAGTAATCATCATAATAATAACAATAATGATGATAAGAACATTAATAGCATTAATAATAATAATAATAATAAAAGTTATAATAATGAAAATAATAATAATGATTATAGTAAAAATAATAATAATGATTATAGTAAAAATAATAATAGCAATAATAACCATGATCATGGCAATGAAAATAATAATAAATAATGA